CTGTTAGAAGTAGTATATTGATCCAAGACACTTTCCCTCCAGCAACAAAATGACACATAGTTCTGGGTGTCAACTGCTTTTATTTTGGCCACACACGGCTTTTATGCACAGACCTCTACATGGGGTCTCCTATACAATAATACAGGGCTTTTCTTCACAGGATCCTCTGTCCCTGAGAGATAATTGCATAAGAAAAAGTTATAACTCAATTATCTCTCAGGTACAGAAAAATATACAATATACTAAAACACCCCAAAGATACATTTTAATGATTTGGGCACATGGACTTGGCATGAGCCGTGTCATAGATCCAATATTGATCTTTGTTATATTCAGCGGAACCCAAATTGTTATTATTACAAGTGCACTTGGAAAAATATAAATTCAGAAACCAGACTTGTGTTGGGTACCACAATAAGCTTCTGTTTGTTTATTTCATCAGTATTGCTTTTATACACTAAAAAGTAAGTGCTTACGTGCAAATACTCATAGAACAGTAGTAGGGAGAGAGAGAAATAACAGGGGAGGGGTACAGATAAGACATAGGTATAAACACCATCTACATATAACCAATAAGTTCCAAGAAAGAGAAGGGACAGACTGATTTAGAAGAGACATCTCAGGTGGGGGCTATCTGCTCTCGGAATTAGACATATATGGACTTAAGTGTCATTTTAAGCATCAAGCATTTCCTGAGTCCAAGTTAGCTAATTTTAATGTAGGATATCCTTATATAACACCTATAAGCTTGAGTATAGAACAGATACTTACCTGGAACTTGGGACCTTGGCATCCAATGCCTGTATCAGAGCCGTCTGAGTTGTGAGAGCAGCTAAGGTTAAGTAGGCAGCACAACCATAAGCTCTCCCAAATGCCGAAATCGCAGTGTGCGGGTGTAGCAAGATGGCCGCCTTCAATCTTGCAAAATGTGAGATTAAAGATGACCGCTGCGGCTAGCGGGTGAAGTAAGATGGTCGCCCGCAATCTCGCGAGATTAAAGATGGCCACCGCGGCTTGATCGCAAGGGGCCGTTAGCCCGGCAGGCGCCAAACTGGAGAGTGTGGAGTGGACGTGGAGGAAAGGCTGCTGTCATGCCGGGATGTACTGGGGGACCAGAGGGAAGAGGAACAAATGCTGGGGAAGCAGGGTAGACAGTTAGCCCCAGCAAGGCCCCAAAAGCTCCAGAGACTCTCAGAAAAGAGAACTAAGGAGGGGAGGGGGCCAAGCACCCAGAATAAGGTAAAAGTAAAATAATAATAAAGAAAGACCCTCAGACTTCCATAGCAGACAAATAGCAAAACCTATTCAAATACAATCCCAAAACAGTCCCAAAGAGGCAATAGAAATACAAATTAATAGAGAAGAGTAATAATCTGACCTGCCTGCTTGATGGAGCAGCAAAGAAAGATGACGTCACTATGCCTTATGTACATCCTACTCTCTTGTGATTGGTCCTTTTTTCTATGTGTTTCTTTGCTGCTGTGTGGAGCTAGTAAAGAGAGATTATGCAAAATACGAAGCCTCCTGTCATGTTGTAAACTCAGAGGGCTCTGAGTCAAATTGCAGGGCGTGGGAAGGCTTTATAAGCCTCTCCCCTCCCTGCTGAGCTCAGTCTGCGCAGTGCCCTCACTGGGTGAAGATGGATTCTTTTTTTATAGCGTCAAGGTTTTTTTTTCGCGCTCTGGATTTTTTTATTTTATAAGTTCGACACGTATTATGGATTTTTATTTGGCTTTTTGTGGGCTGAAAAAATAAGTTTTTAGAAAAAAGAAGACATCAAATGGTAAAAATTTACAGATATTTCGTTTTATTGTCTCCCTCTCACTATTTTAAGGACTTTAAGGGTGAGAGGGGTAAGTAGAGCTTTATTTAATTTTTGGGGGGGAGGTGATTAGGGGCTTGGGGACACCTAGTCACATTGGGGGGTATTTTTAAATAGTCATTTAGGGTCTGAACCTGTCAGCCATGGGTGGGGATGGAGGGAGGACAATAGGTCCCTCCCATTTTCATTTAGGGCCCCCATCTGTTATTCATGGGTGGGGGCCCAGGGGGGGCACAATAGGTTCCCCCATTGTCTTTAAGACCCCCAAGCACCGCTCATGGGTGGGGGCCGGGATGAGGCCAATAGATACCCCCCTTGTTCTTTTGGACCCCCACCCACTGTAAATGGGAGGGGGCCAGGAGGAGGACAATAGGCCCTCCCCCCATTGTTCTTTAGGGCCCCCATCCGCAGCCTATGTCCCCCATTTAGTTTTAAAAAAAAGCCCACTCATGGGGCATGGGTGGGGGCTCTGGTTAATAGATGCCCTACCATGGGGCCATTTATTGGGAGGGGGGTGCTTTATTTATTTTTTTATTTTTTTTACATGCCCCTACTCGCGATATAGCGAGTAGGGGCAGATTAATTGCTAATACTAAATAATATTTACTTAGTATTAGTAAAGTTGGCTTAAAGACCAATCTTGGTCTTTCAGCCTTTTAGTAGATAGCTCCCTAATACAGTTGGAATTAGGCAGCTATCTACTAAGCGGCTGCAAGATGCAGCCCAGCACGGGTTATCGGATCAGAATTCATTTATTCAAATTAAATTTCGAACCGACCTAAAAGTACTGATTGTTGGTACAAATTGTTCTCATTCTGTTAGGATGAAATTCGATAGTTTTGCCTGCCCTCTGTCTAAATGACAGGACGTTCGGGACTATCACGGAGGAAAGGTGAGAATTGTGGGAAATTGTCAGGCATAGGAAAAATACACAAGACAAAGTAGACCCTACTTTGTCTTCTGTTTTAATGAAAACTATAGCAGACAGGATGAATTGAAGAACAGATCCTGCCAGTGTTGCTACTTTACAGCAAAATCATTTCAGGAAATGAAATAATGGTATGTTTTGTCTCAGAGTCCAGTCTGAAGGAGGAATCAAGAGTACAATTCCTTTCAACATGTGAAGCATTACAATCGGTTATTTTCTACAGATACATTACAAATTCTGACTGAATGTTATGTGCTTGTCATACAGAAATCTTTCAGGGCAGGATCAATACACCAAAACTGCTTCATTAAGCTACAATGGTTTGTAGTGTTCCTGTAAGGAGACTCTGTAAGCACCAAAACAACTACTTTACCACCATATACTTTGTTTCTCCTACAAACACCTAAATCAAAAGTGCTTTATGTGTGAAAAGTGTGTATTTTTTTTCCATTTTACAAAAAGTGTACATTTCAATAGAAATTGACACTTTTATAAATAAACCTTCTTACACCTAATGTTTTTTCCTGGTTTGGTTAGTTCAGTGAAGATTAACTCGAGAGGCAGCAATTGCCCAGACTACCTGCCCTGCAAAGACTTCTCATTGAGCTGTATTGAGAAGTCTGTGATTGGACAGTCACAGAAAGTCTGGGCGGGGTTAGAAGGGGAGGGCTTGTAAAGGCAGCAGACGAGATCTACAGCTTTTACAAGCTGATTTTAGATATACCCCCATAATGTAAAATTAAATGCATGCATGTTTCCATTGGTGATATATCTACTAAATAGTGTCTTTTTTTTTATATTTTTGGGTGCAGTCCCTCTGTAAGTGCCGGCATATTTAAATGGATTTTACATTGTAAAACTGTTTGTGCTATCCAACTGTGTTATGTAGCCGTTGTGTTTTTAATTCTATTAACCATTCTATTGTTTAATTTTATATTAATTTTTTCTTTCTATGTATTCTCTGTAACTGGAGATGAGCTAGAATTGTGCTGGATTTCACTTTGACCAAACGTTGCCGGTGGATAGAATCCAGGAATTCATGTTATACATTCAAACTGTTTGTTCACGAGGCGGTGCTGGCAGCCATAGGGCAAATAGTAAAAACAAATGGCCTCAGAGGTGCAGGGGCTAAGGGTCCTGACCTGCATTAGCTATCCAGGTAACATTGTAACAGAATATAGAAATAATGCATATGGTGACTATTGTTCTTCCTTGATGTCCATGCCTGCCATTGCATGGATGGGGCTTATTTGGCCTGTCTGAGCACTCTGATTGGTTGGCTTCCAAACCAATTATTCACAGCACACTTGCCAACATGTTCTGGGGCAATGGTGGATTGGGAAGAGAGTAGGTGTGCAGGGGGTGGGTTGGCTCGTCTAAGGAACTCATTTTAACACTGACACTGAATGTATCTAGTCGAATGGAGCCAATCTGGTCAAAATGTGGTCATTTTCACAGAATTTGAATAAAAGATAAAAGTTTGCTATTAAATGGACATTGAAGGCCAGCTTCTCCCCTGATTCTTTGCCAGCATTAATACTGCAAGAGCACCATGGGGGATGTAGTCCACAACATCTGGAGGATGCAGTAAGCACTTCAATGAGATGAATCAGTTACAATGTCCCTTTATATAAATAGCCCTGATTGTTACATTTCTCTGTTTCTCTCTAGTTCTGCTTCTTTCTTTCTGCAGAGTGGAACTGGACGGTGCATGAGTTGGACTTCCTTGGGCAGGTAACACAATGTGACATGGCCCATGGCTGCTCTGTGTAGTGATAGCAGTTATAAAGGCAGCTATGGATTATCTAACGTAATGTCTGGTGTTTGGAAAGCTGTAATGCTGCGTCTCAGCTCTCCTCATCCTGGACCCTGAGCAGCACGCTGCCTTGAGCTCTCTCAGCCACCCTCCCCTATTTTCTCTCTTTCACTCTTTATTCTTCTTCCCTCTTTTTCCCGTATACATTTTTTTCATTCTTCATTCTTTCCTGTGTTTGTGCTGTTTTCCGGTTACTGTTACAGCTGTGGAGTTTACCCTGCCCAGCTCCTGAATAGATGTTCACTCAGAGTTTGAGCAGTGGGAGAGGGGGTTGTTGCCCACCTTGTATTGCCAGGATCCAAACTCCGGTAGTAAGATACCTGTAGGTGGGACCGTCCTCCAGCTTGCAGCTGATGATTCGTGTTCACATGTTTAAATAAATCTGTGGCCTTTAAGTTAAGTGTCAGGTGTTTTATTCACTGTGAGGGGGTGGGGGGGGAGGTCAGGCATGTTTTGGCAGGCATTGCCTCTTGGGAGAATTTCTTTGTTTCTCTGTTTCATGCAGGTATAGCTAATGACTCTGAAAATCCCCACATTGCTCAATAGTTTCCAGCCTTTTCCTGTAAGCTGTGAAACCTTATTTCAATTTCCTGTAAATAGCCTGTATTTTATTACAGCCAATTGCACACCTGGTTTCAGTTCTGTGCAGTGATGTTAGTTTTAACTACATTAACACTTACAGCCTCAGTAACTGCCCCCTGGGCAACCAGGATTTCAATCGAGTTCTAATCCAGCTCTGTGGGTACACTGGTCATGGAAAGTCCTCCCTGATCAATTCCTGCAAATATGTGTTAAACGATAAGGAGTTTAAACTGCATGCTCAAGCTGCTTCCATCGATGGTGGGCTCACAATGGAGAGGAAGTCCTATCAACTAACAAGTTCCATCACCATGGTGGACAACAGAGGGTGGTCAATGATGAATGCTTTCGAGATGGGTGAAATCTATGCCCAGCTGGGTAAGCTATGTCAAAAGTCAGCTTGGTGATGGGAATTGGGAATGGCGATATGATTTCATTTATTGTTATCGAGAAACAAAAAAATGTCAAATTGTTGGCAGAATTTTTGTTTAAAATAGATGTTTTCTGTAGAAAGAGATAATAGAAAAATTAAAATACCATTTAAAGTTAGAGATTAGAGAATTTAGGGGTAAATTTCAGACAACACTCTAAAAAGCTTGTCAGAAAGGTGGCAGAGATACCATGGAAGAGTCCAAAAAAAGGAAGCTGGTGTCTTCCTCGTAGCAATGCCCAGACTGGATCAGTAGCCATATCTATGATTCTGACCCCATGATCCTGCCACGTGTTTCATGCTAACAGAATGTTTAACCCCTTAAGGACACATGACACGTGTGACATGTCATGATTCCCTTTTATTCCAGAAGTTTGGTCCTTAAGAGGTTAATAAATGTTTTTTCTCCCTTGTGCTAAAGTCCTGCCCTTATAGAAACAAAAAGTAATATATATAACTGTGTGTCTGTATGTTCTGACTAGAGAGATGGGTTTATTGTAAGAATAAGAAAGCTGGGAATCGAGCCGTGGTATTAAAGAAGGTGACAGCATGTCAGTTATTAGTTGAAGACTAAGAATCTCAGCAGTCAGAGAGTAGATACAAGACAATTATACTACAGAAACAAAGATTGTATAAAGTTCAAAACATCTACAAAAACAATCAAACAGAAAAAAATCACTTTTAAACAGATATGGACTATATAGTGACAGCTCCATAACTCATTCTCAATATCTGCCTTAGTTTAGCTTCAAAACAATCATGAAGAATAAATTCCATTATATAGGTTTCATCTCAGTGAGAACGTGATCCAATCCTGAACCTAAATTACAGAAATATAAAGGGATTTTCACTAAACCATGGACTATATGGAATTAATGAATACATTGAGTGCTGCAGATTTGTAGATACATCTTGTGGCCCCAGTTGCACAAGCATCCCAGTGACAACTTCTTGTGACATATTTTCACATTCACTATCTTCTTTCACTGTCTGTCGAGATGATGGATTCAAAATCAGACACAATTCAAAAAAATAACAATGTTACAGACATCACTAATATAGATAGATACTGGATAGATAGATAGATAGATAGATAGATAGATAGATAGATAGATAGATAGATACGGGATAGATAGATAGATAGATAGATACGGGATAGATAGATAGATAGATAGATAGATAGATAGATACTGGATAGATAGATAGATAGATAGATAGATAGATACGGGATAGATAGATAGATAGATAGATACTGGATGGATAGATAGATAGATAGATAGATAGACAGATAGATAGATAGATAGAAAGATAGATAAAGGATAGATATATAGATAGATAGATACTGGATAGATAGATAGATAGATAGATAGATAGATAGATAGATAGATAGATAATATATAGATAGATACTGGATAGATAGATAGATAGATAGATAGATAGATAGATAGATAGATAGATAGATAGATAGATAGATAGATAGATAGATAGAAAGATAGATAGATACTGATAGATAGATACTGGATAGATAGATAGATAGATAGATAGATAGATAGATAGATAGATAGATAGATGAATAGATAGATAGATAGATAGATAGATAGATAGATAGATAGATAGATAGATAGATAGATACTGGATAGATAGCTAGATAGATAGATAGATAGATACTGGATAGATAGATAGATAGATAGATAGATACTGGAGAGATAGATAGATAGATAGATAGATACTGGAGAGATAGATAGATAGATAGATAGATAGATAGATAGATAGATAGATAGAAAGATAGATAAAGGATAGATAGATAGATAGATAGATAGATAGATAGATAGATACTGGATAGATAGATAGATACTGAATAGATAGATAGATAGATAGATAGATAGATAGATAGATAGATACTGGATAGATAGATAGACAGATAGATAGACAGATAGATAGATACTGTATAAATAGATAGATAGATAGATAGATAGATAGATAGATAGATAGATACTGGATAGATAGATAGATAGATAGATAGAGAGTTAGATAGCTGGGGTGGGAAACCCTGTACTTTGAGTATCGGAATTTGGGAACAAAGGGAGCGGAGTCCCTACCCGCACTAGGGCTCCAGGGAGGGGGAGGATCCTGTTATGTAACCTTGTGTGACTGTGTGATACACCCCTTGCATGGGGAGATGTTTAAAAGCTGTGTGTGGCCAATAAAGTGGTTGTTATACCTCCAGGCCTGTGTGTTGTCCAGTTACTGGGGGGAAATGGGTCTCTTGGTATTCTAAGTGGTTCCTGACCGGCTGAAGGAAGGGGACTAGTGGAAGTAACCGGTCTGGTTACGCATGGTCCGCTACACTCCCAGGAGTGTACTCTCCTACTCCCAGCAGGGTAGACTCACATCCATGATCCGGTACTCTTACTGAAGCAGATAGAGTGCATAGGAAGATGAATTTCACGGCAAACAATCTGTGCAGGACGTAGTAATAGTTTTACAACCAAAGTTTAAAATACTGTTTCCGTTTGATGTAAGGAAAGATGACAGGCTTATAGCTGTGTGATTTTTGCAAATTACTGGAGTAATAATGCACTAAAGGCAATGAGAATAGGTGGTTTTGGTGCCTGGAATTTCCCTTTTTAAATCTTAATTAATTCTAATTTCACAGGTAATCTGATTCCTGTAGATGAAAAGGTTGAGTGGACAACAGAATATCAGGACATGTTATTCCGGGTGGAGGACGCCGACATCGAGCCAAGCTTTACCGATGTCATTGTGCCGATATTCGTCTACAGGTGAGAATTAATCCTACATATTATATAAAATGTGACGGCAGATAAGAACCATTCGGCCCATTTAGTCCCAATTTTCTAAACACTTGCATTAGTCTCATTGCATTGGTCTTATTTTATAGCTAGGGTAGCCTTATGCCTATCCCACGCATGCTTAAACTCCTTTACTGTGTTAACCTCTACCACTTCACCTGGAAGGCTATTCCATGCATCCACTACCCTCTCAGTAAAGTAATACTTCCTGATATTATTTTTAAACCTTTGTCCCTCTAATTTAAGACTATGTCCTATTGTTGTGGTAGTTTTTCTTCTTTAAAATATAGTCTCCTCCTTTACTGTGTTGATTCCCTTTATATATTTAAATGTTTCTATCATATCCCCCCTGTCTCGTCTTTCCTCCAAGCTATACATGTTAAGATCCTTTAACCTTTCCTGGTAAGTTTTATCCCGCAATCCATGAACCAGTTTAGTAGCCCTTCTCTGAACCCTCTCTAAGGTATCAATATCCTTCTGAAGATACGGTCTCCAGTACTGTGTACAATACTCCAAGTGAGGTCTCACCAGTGTTCTGTACAATGGCATGAGCACTTCCCTCTTTCTACTGCTAATACCTCTCCCTATACAACCAAGCATTCTGCTAGCATTTCCTGCTGCTCTATTACATTGTCTGCCTACCTTTAAGTCATCATAAATAATCACCCCTAAATCCCTTTCCTCATATGTTGAGGTTAGGACTCTATCAAATATTCTGTACTCTGCCCTTGGGTTTTTACGTCCAAGATGCATTATCTTGCACTTATCCACATTAAATGTCAGTTGCCACAATTCTGACCATTTTTCTAGTTTACCTAAATCATTTGTCATTTGGCTTATCCCTCCTGGAACATCAACCCTGTTACATATCTTAGTATCATCAGCAAAAAGACATACCTTACCATCAAGACCTTCTGCAATGTCACTAATTAAAAATACTAAAGAGAATATTTTAACCCTATATATTATACTTTTTATAGAAACCCTATATATTATATATTAAACCTATATATTATACATTTCATATTAAATACTAATGACTGAGTAAGATCTCCAGGTAGATGAAACAATTTGTATCTAGGAGAGAAATTCTGGAGCCTTGTCTATAGGAAGTGTTTGTTTTTCAAATCTAGTTTTTTTTTCTTTATTTGAAAACTTTTACTATAATAATAAATTAACTCAGAGAAGACTTTCCATCAGTGTGTGCTACAAATATATATATATATAATGCTGCTCAAGCACATCAGTGAACATTTTTCAATTTTTAACTATATATCATACCAGAAACCACTAAAACATAAATAATGCTAAAGAAAATAATTAAAAAATTAATGGAAATTTATCAACCTCCCCAAAACAGAAGGGATGACTAATGCAACATTAATATGTAACATGAATATAAGTAGGAGCATTTTACGTAAGTAATGAAATAATGTGTTACCAAAATAATGTTAAAACATGATGAAATAGCACATATCAGACCCAATCAGGTCAATCAGGAATCACTGGCTGTCCCAGGTTTGGTGTAGGAGTTACTCCTTCCTGGGAACGTGCTTAGCTGTCTTGATAAAGGTCTGTTGTGACTGAAATGCATAGACCTTAATTTATTTATTTATTGGCAATTTCTTTTCAATCTTTCTGGTACTTGTATCCAGCATAGCACTACATGATGTTACCATTGTATTATAGTTACATTGTTACACTGAGGAGTGATCTGGACCCCTTGGACCATTGCTGTGCTGTATGGTAGTGGGACATGCTTCAGTCTTTACCATTGATTTTTTTGTGTAGTTTGAATTGTGGTATTTTATCCTCTTTTAACACTAATTTGGTAATATATTCTAGAGTGTCTATGGTAATGAATGGCAATTCTCACATTTACAAAAAGCTAATTCCGACTGGACAACCAAACCGAATTTGCCAGTTTCACATGGTGTCTTGTTTAAAATTGGTGCTTTTCAAATCCAAATGCTTTACAAAGTGTAGAATTCAGGATATTTACAAAGCACAGATTTAAATAATATTCAGGATGCGCAGTCACAAGTTACCCTTCACAAATGAATAAAAAGAAAGCGTAAAAGGCTACATACCATGTGAACGTATATTAAATTTTATTGATAAATGTAATTGTAGAATATAAACAAAATGTACTATAAATACATACACAAAGCGCATAGGATTCGCATACCGAGATAGTCGAACGGGTCCTGTGTACCCTGGGAGCCTCCGTACCTTCATATTTCGGTTTTCGATACACGTCAAGCTTTTTGGCCGAAGATGATCTCATATTCATTTTATTTATTTTTCCGTGAGGAATGCCGGCGGATTACTTTAAGGATCTACATAGATGTGAAGACTGGACACACCTTAACCCATTTCTACAGCTATCGGATTCAGGCTAGATTTCACCATCTTTCCTGCAATGGACATTTAACTTTTTATCAATTCCCATTAGATTTTATTAGGTGGAAATTCCCTCTGATCCTTCCGATAACCACTGGTATTTTATATTTTGTATTTCATGCATATACATTTTTATGTTATTTTATTTGCCACTTCAGTTTTTATTTTTTATGGATTTAGTACTTATTTATTTATAGTACATTGTTTATATTCTACAATTACATTTATCAGTTAAATTAATTATACATTTAGATAATTTATAGCCTGTTTTGCTTTCTTTTACTTTTTATTCATTTTTTATATACCCCGGAGTATTAAGGATATCTCCATTTGAAGGCAGCATCATGACTGATACATGTGATAGCAACATCGGTTATAAATAGATTTTTGGATTTTAGCATCACAGTTGTAGCGCGTTTTTTTTACCCCTTGGAGTTTTTTAACCCTGAGGTTTCTTGCAAATTACCATTCACTTGTGTTCCAAGCAGACAGTAATTTGAAGTATTATTTGCCCGCTTCACAGTTTGAGGGTTAATGGTGCTAGCCCGTTGCTACATTAAGATGTGAATAACATCAGAATGCGAATAATAATAATTCATCAATGTCTGATTTGTGTAATTCAGGTCTTGAGCGGGCCGGAATTTAGTCCGGATTTTAGCTGAACCAAACGCCGCTAAGCGGCTGAAATCTTTACTCAATGCTGCAAATCTGGGCTCACGGAATTCAACTCCGGATCTGAATTTAAAAAAATTGGAATTATTTTCCCACTGGTAGCGCTCAAATCACTAAAAACCCTCGGGAACACAAGGGTTAATTATATGGTGGCTGAATAATGATATAAAGAAATATAAATCATATGCTGGCCAATAAGATCCCCATATTACTATAATGTAGGTAATGAACCTGTATATACCCCCACCTACCATCCAAAATTCCTGATTCCAAATTTTCAGTATGAAAATGCATTCTGTCCCAAAACTATCTATTTAGTTTGTTGTTTTTTTTTCCTAGCGTGAAGAAAGATATCGCAGATGCCGAAGCTGCAGAAATAAAACTTTTCATTAAGAAATGCAGAGACCTAACAGGTAAATAATATATATATAAAAAAAGGATAGAATGTGAAAATGAAAATGTGGGATAGATAATTGCTTACTGGGGGAGAGTGGTTAATGCGTTAATGGCCGATCGCCATTATTTCCAGAGATCTTTCAAATGTCCGTGATTTGTTTTTACGCACACAAAGTTTTTGATAACTCTCTTATTTCTCTGCGTGAAAGGCTGATTTTACTAATAGTATATCTCGTCCATTAAGTTTGGCCTGAGGATACCTGATATGGATGTCCCCTGAGCCTCCCATATCCTTATTTGGCTGAACGCCCAGAATAACCTCAGCCATATTATTTCCTTAGAGAATAATCAATCACTTTATGATTCAATATTAAGTACAGATGTACTAACGTATTCTTGTTTTGGTATTATCTTTATTAAGCACGGTCTTGTCATAATTGTGTTACCAGTATTTGGGTTGTGACTGGGCTGCATTTCTCGCTGAGCTGCCTCGATGTAACCAATAACCAATCTATATGAGACCCTCCCTAGTGTGGTCTGACTACGCAGCCCATCGATCTTTAACACAATCAATGAGAATCACAGAAAAATAAAGGAAGAGAGAATCTCTCAATCAAACTTTATATTACAGTAATCATGTGGACATTCTGGATCTCCCCAAATATACAGATAGAAAACGTTTATTACACTTGTAACGTGTTTCATGTTTCCACAGATTGCCAATAATCATTGCTTCCTCCACAGCCCCCTCATATTAGCACTTACATTGAGGATTCAGGCTCACAATATATACAGGTGTGACCAGTGTGATCCTGTGACAATGTGAGCGGTTGTAGAAGTTGAGCTGTTACATTATTTATTATGATTGACTAATAAAATTAAGCTCAAGCTTTTCCTTAAACGAACACTCCAAGCACCATAACTACTACAGTGTGCTGTAGTAGTTATGGTGTTAGGAGTGCCCCAGGGCCCTCCCCCATGTATGCAGTCAAACTCTTTAGTAATAATAACTATCAATTGAATAAAGGTGCTCCTATAAATTATATAAGAGATCTGGAACAACCGGACAACAAAAAGCTGTCTTCGCACTCACAACTCCATAATAAATGTAAAATAAAGTGTCAAACAAACTGGAGGTGTACTCAATACAGAAGAAATGTGCTCATACCTATCGTATACAGTGTAATGTTCTTTAGTAGGAATTACCATAAAAAAATAATAGTTTAATATGTAAAATACCTATTACAGATGTAAACAGTTTTATATAGATAAACAAAAGGTGATGGCATCAAAGATGAGAAGAGAAGGATAGATGTTCTGGTCACTTACAAACAGTAGAGCCGGGATCTGAGACAAAACTCCACCACCTGGTATGAAAATGGCAGATAACCCATACATATATAAATCTCCTTCTCTCCTCGGGTCTACCAGAAGATATGAAATAACAGGACTCTCAAACTTATGACCAGTGTTGCTGATAGTATGGTGTCTCTCTAGTGGTGGGCTTAACACAATATGGCCATGTGGTGGAACTGAATCCCAATATTTGTTTGCTAAGATTCGGTAGCCTTATAAAATGTAAAGCTGTATTTTTGTTTTTGTGTGTGTGCTGTTCATTTAACTGTATTTTGTATAGATTCTGGTCTTAGAAATGCATGTTCTGGGTGTGCCTCCAATTCCTTTCTATATTTTGTCCATTTTGCTCCAGACCAGAGCGTGATGATAGTGAATTGAAACGTTGCTGGATAGG